CAGATGGGGCCTGGAGGTCCTCAGCCAGGGCAGATGGGGCCCGGAGGTCCTCAGCCAGGCCAGATGGGGCCTGGAGGTCCACAACCAGGCCAGATGGGGCCCGGAGGTCCTCAGCCAGGGCAGATGGGCCCTGGAGGTCCTCAGACCGGCCATATGGCTTCTGGACGGCCTATGGTTGGACCTCAAATGGGTCAGCTGGGACCCACAGCCCCTCAACATGCCCAAATGGTGCCCATGGGGATGCCCCAAACCGGTCAAATGTCTGGACCTCACATGGGAGGTATGGGCCATGTGCAAATGCAGCAAGGGCACAACCCAGAAGTTAAAAGAGAGAGTGAAGAACTAATATCTTTTGACTGAGTACGATCAACTTGAATATTAATTTAAAATTTTATGGATGCAGTTTTTATTATTATTGAGTAAATATAAACTGTTTATATGCTAAGTAAATTGTTCATTCCCTTATATTGATAATTTAAGTCAGTATATTGTAATTCTACTGTTTAGTTTGCTTGAAAGTCTTCTGTGCTTACAGCCAAGTAACATAAAACCCCCTTTCCTGGAATTTGGCGTGCAGATACATAAGCATGGCCATCCTTTGATTTTCGGCACATGAATGGGGCTGTAGGTCCAGGGGTAGGCAGTGTTGGCACTGCTGCAAGCACTTCTTTGCTCTGCAAATTGTTTCAAATATTGTATGTTTTATCATGTTTATAAAAAACAGGCTTTTTATTATATGTCTAAAATTAGATAATATGTATCTTTATTTTATTGTTTTTGTCTGTCTTTTTTAAAATTAACTTACAAGAGTTACTGCCAGGGGAGGAATATTTCCTTGATTTGGAGGGACATGAAAAGGAGACCTGAGGTGCCCTGCCCGCACCTGAATCCTTAATAGTTGGGCATAAGGGTTTACCAAAGTGCACTCTAAATCATTCAGTTTTGTTTCTAATGAAAGTCGTCGGACCCACTCCGCTAACCGAACACGATCTAAAGTTCAATGTTTAAGAAAAATGAAATCATTCATAAATATCTGAACACTAGATATATGAGAATATCATCTAGCCTCTTTGACTACTTTGAGAAAATTTTACCATAAGGAGAGTCTAGGGTTGGAGCATAATATGCAATTTCATGTAGAGCAGCTTGGAATTCTTCTCTGGGGGCTGGCATATTCCTTGATTTACTGCAGAGAGCAGACACAGATATTTTGTCTCACAAAAACTTTGAACAGTTTTCATATGCCTCTTCAATTCTCCTGGTTTCTAAAAGAGCTAAAAGAGACACAATTGATAAAGAAAAATGGGAGTGTTTTTGTTCATGCCATGGCAATAATGGTGCCTTTGTCCATCATTGTTGTGAGACTTACAAGGTAGTTATTCCTTTATCTATAATGAAAACAAAATATCACAAAATTTTTATTTTGAAAGAAAACCCAGTACGGTAGTTACTGTACTCAGTGGTTTATTGAGGTACTTCTAGTAGTACAAACCTATTGACAAATGGATACACTATCCAAGCTAGAGTTATTCAAGTACACCATAACCACAGAAGAATTATCTTATATAAAGTACAACTATTTTTCATTCTGTTCAAAGAACATAACTCGAATATAAGGGCATTTGAGAAGGTCAAGTAGAAAGTTGTCTTAACTGATATTCAGACTTACAGCATAATCATCAATACTAAAGAACAAAATGAAAACACCAAGGAATAGCAAGCTCATGTGGTTTTTCACTCTTAAACAACTAAAGGTAATACTTAAGAGGTACAATTTCATTACTTTGAGATAGAACTGTAACATCTATCTACCACAGTGATGATGCCTATAAACATAATATCACAAAATTACAGAATACATTATTTGTGATATTCATTCACCTGCAAGATTCCAATTCAGGAGGGATGGGTATCTTCTTTGATAAAGCAAAGGCTTTCAAAGCTTCATACTTTGCTTGAAGGGTTTGTAGTTCAATCCTCATTGCGTCATTATCCTCACTCATGAGTTCCATGTCCCGATACTCTTGGGATTTCTCAGTTTCCAATTCATCTTTCTGTTCAATTCTTTTTATTCGGCAACTGCAAATTTAGGAATAAAAAAATTAAAAAAAAAAAAATAGTTTTGTGTTTGAAAAGAAATTAATAGTTAAATCTAACATATTTTGAGAATGTAATTGTTTAGCAAACTGACCTTGCTGCATATCCACGATTTTTCAAAGTGCGTCGGCGTTGTTTCATTCGTACTATATCATCTCTTGATAGGCCCCGCAATTTGAGTTGTCGGTTCAGGTCTCTGACTGATATAGAAACGAGTTCATCATCACTAATGTCCAGCACTGGACCAGGTGACAGTGGAGCCTACGGAGTAAAAATTAAATATAATTGGCGCTATTAAATGATAAATTTGGTACACAAATTGAAGGTGGAGATCAAGTAAGCTTTATCTTTGATTCAAAGTTTAACAAATTATTTCTACCAATGTTTATTCAAATTGCATCCTTTCAATGAAGCAAAAGTTGTTATTAGTTTCCCACCTCTTCACATTCAACACCAAGGACTCCAGACCAAACCAAACAGATATATGTAAAGGGATGATAGAAAGTAGTTTAAAACAATGTCGTGGCTTGGCATGAGTTCAAGGTGTGTTAGTCAAATTTGATTCAAAGAGTGTTTACATGATTCTAACCTTACTCTTGCCACTGGGAAGCTGTGACGGCAATACCTGACTTCCATGAGAGGATCTTCTGTCACTTTTACGCCCTTCTAACGGCATTTTTCAAATATTTCGATGGTTTTTCTAGAAGACACGCAATAGATGGAAGCGTACCACGAAAATCTGTCAAGTCATCCTCACGGCCATCGATGTTGATGTTGATAGCAAGTTCCATCCATCCACCACCAGCAGACCAAGCAGACGATTTCGTCACAGCCATATAGATTCTTTTAAACTTTAGATTTCCAATCCTCTGTTCCCTGTTCCAATGTTTCACAGCAGTTGAGTTTTGTTTACAAACTTACGAGGATATTTAATTCAATCAACTTCAGGTATTCAAATTTCCATAGAACATTAATAGAGGAGGTCATTTTAAGTTTCCAATTTTGATTTCAGTTGCCTCAGTATCCATCTGTGTTAATCTTATCTTTCAAGTCGTTTGACGTACTGCACGTGATTGTGTCTAGGTTAATTCGTTGGGTGTGACTCATTGTGTGATAACCAACTTTATTGTATCGTTACTTAAATCTTTACTTAAAAAATAATAATTTTTTAAATAAATAAAGCTTTGGAACTAAAACATTCGAACTGTGTTTTCAAGGTTCTTGCTAACTGTTTATTGTTTACCTTAGTAATCAAAGAAGTGCAAAATATACATTTGTTTATCAATGCTTTATTTTATTACAGAAAGACCCATGAGCACAGAACTCTACTACTTCTTACTGGTTCTCATTATTCTCCCCGTGAACCTGTTCTTCAGTTTGTGGTCCTGGATTGGTTGGGAACTCTTCAGAAACAATTGAAGCCACTCACTGAATCGAAAATGAAACTGGCAGAGCTTGCTGGAGACGAAGCCTATGGAGACAAGTCCAGAACTTTTGTGTTTCAAGAGGAAGGCCATACCCTGGGCAATGCACTTCGATGCATTATTGTGCGATACCCAGAGGTAGTCTTTTGTGGATACACTGTGCCTCACCCAGCTGAAGCTAAGATGCACTTTCGAATTCAGACAAATGGAGCAAGGGCTGTGGACATTTTAAGGAGAGGGCTTGAAGATTTATCTAAAGTGTGTGATCATACAACTACTGTATTTCAAGAAAAAGTGACTGCCTTCAAAGCTGCCAACACATCATGATCTATTCTATCTGTACATTCTAGTCTCGGTGAATAAATTTTTCTAATTAAACCACCTAAAAATAAATTTATTGAAGAATTGATCGTGAAAGCAGATGATACCCCTAATGATCAGGTCTTGTTGTATTATTGAAGTAGGCAGATGGATGTGAATGTGGCAAATACTTTTTTAAGCAGAGGCCTGTAAATTACCACTTTACTGCCCAGTAAGAAAATGTTTTTTTTTTTTTAAAGAAACAAAACAAATTGGACGTCAAAGTCTTACGGTATCTAGTACTAATAAGTAGGGGGCTGTATGACACATTATTTCATGTCCTTTATTATTAGTTTCAGAAGAATGTTAAAACCAAAGCACTTATGTCTTATGTGCTACTGTGCAGGCGAACTAAAGTGCGTCAATGGTGCTGGTTGTCAGACCCCACACCACAGCTAAGCTGACGATGACCGGCTCGATCCGCACCCCGTCGTCACATTACGCCTAATGTGCGGCCACTTTGTGGCCGTTACCACGACAATTTGCACGGAGCTGGATAGCGCTGCGCAGTGCGCAGTCCCGCGCGGAAAGTCCCACCAAATGCGTCTGTTGCTCGTTCTCCTGCCCGGCCTGCTGTTGGCGGGGGCTACGGGGGAGGGATCGTCCCCTCCTCCCACCGAGGAGTCCTTTACTATAAATGCAAGCGTACAATTTTTATAGTTTTTCTAGTTATCGTCTTGTTTTTCTGATTTTTTTTTCTGTTTTTTTTTT